TTGTTCAATGCGACTTTGCTTGTATAGTTAAACATGTAATGGAAAAATGTACAGTATAACACTAAGCAGTATGCAATTTTATATTAACAAAAATGTCAGACATGATGTACATCTCTAATGTACAAAAAGAAAGAAGGAATAGCTGTACTGAACCATACAAGAAAACTGTAATTTTATTGTGACCAACAGTCAACCAACAGCCAACCTAACAGTGGGCCAACTGTTTATCAACAGTCGATCAACAATTTGTCGACAGAAGTTATAGATACAATGCATACCATGGGTATGAATTGTTATAAAAGCATAAATATATATTAGCCTGTTCTTTGGCTACTTGGTTTTTATTGTTTTCTCTGATTTAATGTGGTGCTTATAGGTAAATGTATTACTTTGACATGTATGCAAGTGTTTATATATGTGCACTGATCTGACTGCAATTGTTATTTAATATTACTAATATGGCACGAACATCAGTATATCCCTTTTATTTTTTCTTTCAGGATCTTAAGTGGTTGTCGCTGTTCAGTTTTGCAGTTGTGAACCTGATTTTTTACGTCTACTTAGGTTCAATTTTTGGGTTTGCCACACCAACAAAGCCAGAATTGGCATTCACAATGGATTTGATGAAGTTGCTGCACACCCTTAATCTTGAAGGCCAAGTGGCTGTAAAATACTTCTGTTCTGCTATTCAGACCCTTATTGATGATATATCCTTTCTGGTATTAAGGTAGTTTAAAAATTATGAAATTCTTTTCTGCTTTGCTTTTAAAAACTTTCATATTGTCTATCCTGTGTCAGTCGGTATACTTTACTTTCTTTTAGCTTGTTAATGATTAATATTTAGCCATAAGGTTTTTTTTATTTATTAACTTTAGAACCAGAGGAAATTATATCCAGTTATTATTGACAGTCTTCAAGAGTTTACGTTAGTAATATATCGTTTAGAACTGACTGTAGCTATGATCTCTCTTTGGCTAAGCGTCGTGTCGAATGCTGTGTAAACGACATTGATTGTTGGATGGTGAACAATGGTCTTAAACTCAACCAGGATAAAACTGAACTTGTTCTCATAAGCTCAAAATTTCGTTGCAGGCCTTCTCTAGAGTTTATCCAAGTGGTTGATGAGAAGATCGAACCCAAACCCTCCGCCTGAAATCTGGGGGTGCACTTTTTAAAAGTGCTAATTGGGGACAATTTTTACGTCTCCTAATGGAGACGAGACTTCCATTTTACGTGGTCATCCGAGCCACGCGAAGGTCTCGCTGCTTGCAGTGCAAAGGAAGTACCTTCATTTCTGAGTCATTTTAAGACCCTGAGTAATGGTCCGGCCCCGGGAATCGAACCCGAGACCTCCCGCTCTGCAGTCAAACGCTCTACCGACTGAGCTAATCCTGCCACAGTAAAATAGAGCCAACGATGAACGCAGAAACCAGGGTCAAGTTCGTTTGTCACACTCACAGGTGGACAAGTGGAAATTGTTTCAAAAGGACGGTGACCGTATTTCCAAAGCCTTACGAAGCGGCCAGGACGATTTTGNATTTTTACGTCTCCTAATGGAGACGAGACTTCCATTTTACGTGGTCATCCGAGCCACGCGAAGGTCTCGCTGCTTGCAGTGCAAAGGAAGTACCTTCATTTCTGAGTCATTTTAAGACCCTGAGTAATGGTCCGGCCCCGGGAATCGAACCCGAGACCTCCCGCTCTGCAGTCAAACGCTCTACCGACTGAGCTAATCCTGCCACAGTAAAATAGAGCCAACGATGAACGCAGAAACCAGGGTCAAGTTCGTTTGTCACACTCACAGGTGGACAAGTGGAAATTGTTTCAAAAGGACGGTGACCGTATTTCCAAAGCCTTACGAAGCGGCCAGGACGATTTTGACTCGAATTTACACTTGGTTCGTATGGATTATAGATCAGTGTCTTGATTTAACCGACCATGTTAACAAAATCTGCGTTTCCTGTCAGTATCATTTAAGGAACATAGCTAAGATCAGGAAGTACTTAGGGGAAGATACCTCTCAAATTTTAGTACATGCGTTTATTAGCTCTAATCTCCATAACTGTAACTCTTTGTTATATGGCCTTCCTAAACACCTGTTAAACAGGTTAAGACTAATACAAAACACTGCTGCACACATTGTTACATTATCTAAGCGGTTTGTCCATATCACTCCTATCCTGTTCAAACTTCATTGGTTGCCGCTGGGTTATCGCATACATTTTAAAATTTTACTCTTAGTTTACAAATGTCTAAATGGCTTGAGACCAACTTACCTATCCGAACTTTTACGCTACACTAATGGTCCATGATTACTTCATTCTAGTTCCCAGAATTTCCTAGCCGTGCCTAGGACTAGGTTAAAGGCGTATGGTGATAGGGCTTTTTCCAAAGCTGCTCCTAGGTTATGGAACCAATTGCCCCCTGAACTCAGGGGTGTTACATCTGTCGACCAGTTCAGGTCGCAGTTGAAGACATACTTATTTAGGTTAGCCTACGATGTTTGATTTTAGTAGCTTTATTTAATTTTACTTTATCTTATAACAGTTTTTAACTCTAGTTTCTTACCATATTATTATACAGCGCTTTGAGCAATTAGTGGATATTGCACTATATAAGTGTCTATTATTATTATTATAAGACTTATTTAATATGTAACTAATACACTAATATTGTTTCCCTATATATTATTCAACGAAGTGGAGGTGGCTTGTGGATATTTAGCGAGCTGCATTTGAAGTGCTAGGTTAGGTGAATAGTATTGTTTTAGCATGTACACACTGTACTAAAACAATTAGATGATGTATAATTGAGCTCACAAATGATGATTTTCAACTCATTTATTGCTCAGCCAATGTTTTACATGTTTAATAATCTAGCTTGCTGATAAACAAAACTTTTGAAGGCATTAAGTTGCATATTTTCTTGAAAAGGAGTTGTGAATTAGTTCTTTCTGTACATTTGAATTCGTTCTGTTTAGGACCACAGCCCCACAGCCACTATTGCCAGCTTAATTGACGAACAATGTCAGTTAATAAAGTAATGATGCAGTCAAGCGTCTTTGCATTTTTAAACAAACACTTTTCTTACCAGTAAATTCAGTTCAAACAAACAACGGTAATCCTGTAAAAATACTGCCTTTCAAAAAGAATTTAATCGCCATCTTTGTGAACGTCAGGATTACAGTTTCTTCATTATAAATATGGTAGCAATATAACCGATGTGAATAACCACTGGGGATCCCAAGTTTAAGTGGCCAAACAAAGAGCAAAAAGCACTATTACATCAGTTTTTTTAATGTATAATGATACTTACTGTAGTTGATATTTTATGTCAGTGATAAAAGTATTGACAAGCCTACACGACTCCTCCAGTTCGCGGATGAATACTTGCCCCGTTCTGCTTCGCATCGGAATATCACACTTTCAACTTTGAGGGCAAGTTTAAACATCGTTTTTGAGCAAAAGACCTACATTTCAGAACAACATACATGGTTCTCAAAGAAAATACTCTTGCCTGTATATTAGCATTCATATCTGGGAAGCTAAACGTCAGTCTTCTTCAAGAACCGAAACACATAGACCTTAGCTGACAAATGGATCGAAATCCTCTCTACGTCATTGGCTGAGCTTCTAGAGACCTCATTGGTTCTCTTCAGGAACCAATAGAAAAACTGGCGGGATTTTTCAATCCTGATAACGGTCAAAGGGGATACATAAACTCTAAAAAGCATAATCTACTCTGACTGCCAACAGAACTATCAGTGGCAACTAACGACATTCCTTTTAGAATGGGAACTGCAGTCTTGCCTCAGCAATACTCTTGTGAAATGGCAGCAACCAAACTAACTGCTGACGGTCTTACATCGACCGAAGAGTCCCATTCTATTAATGAAGACACTAGAATGGACACTGACATAACTTACGAAGAAGAGGACGCCCTCCTGTACGAAGATCGAGATGAAGATGTTGGTTATAGCGATGACAGTATCCCAAACGCTCAAAGACAGGAACGTAAGAGGGATACAACGAATGAGCCAAAAAGCAAGAAGAGGCCAAGTGAGCAGAAAACCAAAGAGCCTACAGGATCTCAGAAAACGAGCAACGACAGAGGCAGGAAGCGCTGAAGAGAAGAACCACCAAAGTCCGCCAAAACTAACGGCAGCTCTGATAGAAAGAGATCACGGCATGAAGAAGAGCTAAACTCCATCCAGGAGAAGATTGAAAGCTCCATAAACTCTCTCAGTCTGCTGAACAATCACCTAGAGAAGGGCTCATGCGCGGGCGAATATCACGCCCGACGAGGACTTTAAGAAAGACATAAACTCCATAAGAAAGAAAGCCGAACAGGCCATTGTAGGGGCCCTCGTGAAATTCCACTACAGGCGTGTAGATAGACTTAAGAATAAGTACAGAGAGATCGAACAAGCTAAGTCTCGCAGAAGTTATCAAGAAACCAACCAGTCTTCCCACAAAGCACCGGCTAGAAATAGAAATATGAGCGAAGATAAGAACAAGAACAAGCTAGCCAAAGTGTTGAAAGCTAAGATTAGAGAGATCGATACACTGCTGGAACAAATAAGAGCACAGGCAAACAATAAAAAAGTGAATCTTATCCTGTTGTCTTATCTGACCCTTTTGAAATAAGGGAAAAAGGGAAAAGAAACAGAACTGATAACAAAGCAGTTAAAAGCTGCAAAAGACTCGAGCAGAGAAAAATTAAAGAGAAAAAGCGCTTTCTAAACAACATTAAGTCACGCAATCAACATATCAAAAACCTGTCAAATTCACAGCTGACAGACAAGCAAATTACCTTACTATCCAGTGGTTTAAAATTCATTCCCACTCCCGTGACAAGACAAAACATTATCAGGTGCCAGCTACTCAATGACCATAGGCGTACGAGCCGGGGGGGCGGGGGGGGCGGCAGCCCCCCCAGTCTCGAAAATATTCGGGCAAAACGCCAAAAATTCGGGCAATAAAGAAACGATAAACGATGGAATTGAAAAATAAAATTAAG